CCCCGGCCCTGCGACCCCCGCACCCACGATCCCGGCGTCCCCACGGTGTCTGGCGTGTGTTGGCATCTCCAAGAAACTTGATCGGAGTGAGCCAACTGCTAATTCCAGGCATTATCCTGATTGCAAGCCCCGCGACAGTGCCAGACCTCATTCCAATCGCACTTCTAACCTTGATTCAACCTTCATCTCCCCCCTCTCACCAGGCCTCTGCGTTCCTAACCTCAGCACCACCCAAAATGTAGGCTGCCTCCTCCCACCCTGCTGAGCTTTTCGCAGCTCTGAGTTTCATCCCTGCTCTGTCTGCTTATAGTTCACCCGCCTGCTCACCAGCCTCTGTGCCATCTGGCCAAAGCCCTGGCCTGGCAGTCTAGGCCCTTCCTGTGGATCCAGACAGCCTTCCCTGTTCTCTGCCCCACCCACCTTGCCCCTACCATTCCCGCCAGGAGAGCTGGGCTCTTTACCGGCTGGATCTGTGTGCCAGGCCCAGTAGTCTCTTGTGGCCGAGGGTGGCAGTGCTGTAAAAGTGGGGGGTCCCAGAACTAGAGCAGGAGAGAAGGGGACAGGGTCAGAGGTTGAGGTTCCAGTTCCTGGTCAGCCCTGGGTTGACGGGGAAGGATAGGAGGGTGTCCCTGGAGAAGAAAGCAGATTTTACTTTCAGGGTTGGGGCTCAGGCCCAGCTGGGCCGGGGGGATGTAAGGTCTGCCCCGCTTTGACAGAGGTTGTCATTTACTTGTGCTGCACGGTATACTTTTCAGTCTGTGCAAAGGTCTTGCAGACATGCTTTCATTTCTTACCAAGGTTCAATGTTCTCAGAAGCCCTCGTCAATGTCTAAGACACGGAGATACAGAAGGCCTTGCCCGCCAGGGTGGGCATGCACAGTCCCATCTTGCAGGAAAAAATAGGGCTGGAATGGGCAAGGGGCGTGCTCAAGGTCGTGCAGCAAAGCTAGACGTGGCTCTGCCAGGGCTCATTGTGTAACCGTGGGTAGTAAGGCTCTGCCTCTCTAGGCCTCAGCTCTCCCACCGGTAAACTGAGAATGATACCCATTGGTTTGCTGTGAGTTAGGAGTCATGGGGAAGCACTTTATTTCTTTTTTTTTGAGTTGGAGTCTCACTTAATCGCCCAGACTGGAGTGCAGTGGCCGCTCCCAGCCACCGCAGCCTGGACCCGCTGGGCTCCGGCTATCCTTCCGCCTCCGCCTTCCAAGTAGCTGGAACTACAGACGCGCGCTGCCACGCCCGGCTAATTTTTTGATTTATTGTAGAGATGAGGTCTTGCCAAGTTGCCGAGGCGGGTCTTGAACCCGTGGGCTCAGGAAATTCACTCACCTCAGCCTCCCAAAGGCGCGGGATGACAGGCTGAGCCACCGAGCCCGGCTAGTACTGAAATACTGTAAGTATTCTGGAGCCTTCCTGAAGCGCTCTGGAGCGCACCAAGGCGCAGCAAGGTGCGGCCAAGCACCCTTCGGACCCACCTACCCCCCGGGCTTCAGCCCGCCCCTTCCATCCCCAGGATGAACCCCCGGGCCGCACCTGTGCAGAGCGCACCCGCGTCCTCGTGGTGGCCGCAGTTGTGCACGCCCCAGCCCAGGCTCTGGCAGGCTGCGAGGCGGGGCTCGCCGCCTTCGCAGTGCACGTTGTCCAGCAGGATGTGCCCGGTACCGAAGCCAAAGAAGGCGTTGGTGGTGGCGACCAAGGCCGCCCCGCAGCCCAGCTGGCGGCAGACCACGGCGGCGTCCGGCAGCCCCCAGTCGTCGTCGCACACCGTGCCCCACAGGCCGCCGTGCAGGATCTCCACTCGGCCCTGGCAGGGGTTCGCGCCCCCCACCAGGCGCACGCTGCCCTCACCTGGTGACGGGGTGGGGACAGGGTGCATCTGCCACAGGGCTCTGCCTCCCGTCCCCTCCGGCAGGATGGGGCTTCCCTCGCACGCCCGCGGGGCATGGTGCCCTTGCATCTAAAACCCGAAGGAGCTGCTCACCCTCTACCCCCAGGACTCTGCTTCCTTGGTCCAGATGGGAGGCGGTTTGTGGGATCACAGGGCAGACTAACTTTGGTGTGTCACCAACCCTCTTCCTCATCTGCTACTGCCAGGGAAAACCTCACGTTTCAAGGTGCAGCTCTCCTAACTTTTCCTCCAGGAAGCCCTCCCTGATCTCCTGAGGGATAGGACCCTCTTCGTCTCCGGACTTTCCTGCCTCTTTCACTGTCCCTCTTTTAGGGCACTTTTCATTTCTCGTCCTACGTCATGACCATCATTTTTGTGCAGATCTGACTCACCTAAGATTAAACTCCAGCTCCTCCCACTCGCTTTCACTACCCTTCAGTTTGTAACCCCTCTCTTCCCACTGCCTGGGGTAGATGTGGGAGACGCCTAAGACCCAGGTGGTGCCCCATATTGCCCTTACATACCTTTCCCGTTCTGAAGAGTTGTAGAGGGTACTCTGCTGGTTGGCATCTTCCTTGTTGGGAGCTGCGAGGGCAAGAATTCTGGGAACGAAGCAGGGTGGAACGGAGGATATAGGGATCTTTCCATTCCCCACACTCCTATCACAGTGTGTGGGGCCTAGGGCAGGGGCCCCAAAGGTGACGGGCCCCAGGGTCTTTGGTCACACAGAGGGGCATAGCCAGAAACCCTGGGGTATGAGAGGAGAAGGGGCACCAGAGTCCTGAGTTCCTCTAAAGCATAGTTCTTGAAGCAGTACACAGCCTTTGGGCACTGGAAGAAATGCAAGCCGGGCTCGGTGGCTCAGCCTGTCATCCCGCGCTTTGGGAGGCTGAGGTGAGTGGATTGCCTGAGCCCGCGGGTTCGAGACCCGCCTGGGCAGCGAGACCTCATCTCTACAATAAGTCAAAAAATCAGCCGGGTGTGGTAGCGCATGCCTGTAATTCCGGCTACTCGGAAGGCTGAGGCGGAAGAATCGCCGGAGCCCAGCAGGCGAGGCTGCGGTGGCCAGGAGCGGCCACTGCACTCCAGTCTGGGTAACAGAGTGAGACTCCAACTCAAAAAAAGAAAAAAAAGAAATGCAAATTATCAGCCCCCACCCCAGGCAGAATCAGAAACTCTGGAATGGGGCCACAATCTGTTTTTATGAGCCCTCCAGATGCTTTTCTTGAAAGCTAGAACCACTGCTCCCAAGGTCAAGGCCTATCAGAGCTTCTGCTGCAGCTCTGTGCCACATAGAGCTGATGGCCAGTGTAGCCCCATTTGCCTGGTTTTAAAAATAGGAAGAGGGATCTGGGCACAGTGGCTGAGCCTGTTGTTCCAGTTACTGAGGCGGGAGGATCACTGGAGCCCAGGAGTTCAAGGTTGCAGTGAGCCATGATCATGCCACTGCACTCCAGCCTGGGTCAGTTTGTTTGTTTGTTTGTTTTTTGAGTTGGAGTCTCTCTGTGTCACCCAGGTTAGAAGACAGTAGCACAATCATGGCTCATCACAGCCTAGACCTCCTGAGCTCAGGCAATCCTCCTGTCTCAGCCTCCTGAGTAGCTGGGACCACAGGCACAGGCCACCATGCCCAGCTACTTTTTTTTTTTTTTACTTTTTTTTGTAGAGATCAGGTCTTGCCACGTTGCCCAGGCTGCTCTTGAACTTCTGGGCTCAGACAGCCCTCTCATCTCAGACTCCCAAAGTGCTGGGATTACAAATGTGAGCCACTGCCACTGGCTTCTGAAAATTTTTTTTTTGAGTTGGAGTCTCACTCTGTCGCCCAGACTAGAGTGCAGTGGCACACTC